ACAGTTTTCAGGTTATTATACTAATTATGGGATACTATACCAATTACTACGCTAATTCTAAGGTTAGTATTTTCTTTCTAGAAAGAATTGAACAATAATCGTTTGATTGTTTCTCTGCTATAGATAATCGACTTCTTTCAGATACGTAATCAACACTGATCCGTTAAAATATTGTGAAGGTGAAAGAAATGGAAAATTACAATGAATTATTTCCTGTTTTGGTTGACAATGCGATCAGCACGGAATAATTAGGATCTTCGTGGGGGATCGCCAAAGTGTTTACGGTAAGATTTGCATGTAGAAATTAGTTGAGCATTATTGCGGAATTAAGGGATTTATTGTTACTACCGCTACAGTAACAGTGCGCTCCAAAATTCTATGCGGTGTTACATTTTTATCTCGCTTTTGTTTTCTATTTTTTTTCAATCCTTAATTCTCTCTTAAATTCTTTCTTAGACAATAGGGCGCATTATGCGTTAAATTCTAGAATAATATAATAAAAAAGATGTATATAGTCCTCAAGGACATTAATAAAAAATCATAATTAATTGCGTACAATTCTTCTCCAAGTAATCCAGACTTGAAAATTGTTGTAATTGTTTGTGGTTAGAACCTTTGATCCAGAAAAGGCATTTGTTATTGTTAACAGTATATTGATTGATTGAAGGACGCTTTTTTGTTGAATGGTTAAAGCTTGAAAGTTAATACTGAAGATATTGCTGATAGAGAACCCGTCGTTTAAATATAACCCGAAATCACCTTACCTAAAACCTGAACCATTCAAATTCTCTTCTGAAACCCCTCTCGTTCCGTTAAACTGTAGATATCGACACAGGAATTAGAAATAACGAAGGTTACTCATTCTATTCACTCTTTCCCAACCCATTGTTGCAAATCGACAAGAATAAAAAGTTTTAAAAATAAAGTGAAAGTGATTATCATTTTCTTTTAACAAAGAACTTTCATTATGTAGTTGTTCTTGATATACGTATCTTCATTCTCGTTGATTTTATTTGTTATCGTTATACTAAAATTAAAATCATCTGGCGTATACCGATACAGACACTTGTAGAGCCTAAATATTAAAAATAAATTTTTAATTACATGTACAGTCAACTCTTTATAACGAACTAACATATAGAGCCCACTACTCTTTCTATAGCAAACTAATATAGGATTTAAAAATTTAAGGTTTGTTATATCCAGAGTTCGTTATAGAGAGAGTTGACTGTAATATGAAATGCCAATATAATTTATATTTCAAATGGAATTTAAATTAATTTTGTAGTAAAGACTCAATTGGTGTAAATTGCATTGGATATATATTTTTTGCCTCTTGATTGGTGAAGAAGAATAGATTTGTCAATAAAAAGATATTCGAATTTAAAGCCACTGCTTAAAACCTATAAGAATTCTCCAAATTACGAGAGCTCGTAGTCATGTCATTATTTAATAAAATTGTCGTTATAGCTCTATCCATATTATCTTCACAATTTATTATGCATTCAGGCAGTGCTTTTTTCTGACATCCTAGAACGTGTATACTTATTGTTATTTAAAGTATATGTATCAATTAATGTTATCAAAAAAAAATTTGAAACTAACTTACAAGCTGACTTACGTTAACTTATGCTATTATAAGTATTTATGTGAATAATATATAGAAATTTCAAATAAAACATACAAATAAACGACTAATTTATAGTATATTATTACTATTAACGTATACAAAATAATCAGTAATCTAAAAATGTTCATAGCTTTCAATTTTACCAAAGCTTTTAAAAAGAGTAAATTATCTACCAGTAAATTTCAATCTAAAGTACAATAAACCTTGCCATCCGTTTTTAATCCTGATCGAAATTCAGCGTTGTATGACACAACTGATTTGTTCGCAAAACACGAGCCACCGCTTTAATTTCCATCTGCCCAAAAAATAAAGAGAATTCTATTTCTTGTTTTCGACCTTGAGGATCTTTTGGAATATCTATAAAAAACAAATAAGAAGTAATAAATAACAAAGAAAAAAGAAAAAAGAAAAAAGAAAAAACATAATCCCAGTTACAATATCAGCAACTAACCAATTACTAATACTCCTAAACGCTTCAAGTTATCACAATATAACTCATTTTCGTTGCTTGAAGTATATACAGGAAAGTTGACACGCGTCTGATCAGGATGACTTGTAGAATATTGTTTTTTGTATTCTTTATTGACGTTTACGTTCTCTCCGCACGTCGCTAATTTCTCGAATGCTCTAACACAACCATTCTGCATCTTACGCGAGATAGTATCTTTTGTGTAGTCCCATTGTCTGTAACATTCTATTCCGTATGTCCATTTTAGTACTCGTGTTGTTATAGAACTTTCGTTAATGCCTATTATATTAATGATTATAAGAAATAAAATTGTTATTAACAATATCGGTACAGATTCTGCTGCTGCAGTTAAATGTATAGATCTGCTTACCATACTAAGAAATCAAAGAAGTGAAGAGTTAATTAGACATCAGTTCAATTCATAACGATAACAATACGTAATCACAATAATAATTCTAAAAAACGACTTACTAAAACAGCGCCACGAGCAATAGCAGTAACAGTCTGATGCGGTACACAAACCACAGTTGATGGAGTTTCAAATTTCTCTTTCACACACTTTAACAAATACGGAGACTGTCCAAACCCTCCACACAAGAAAATCGCTTGACATTTAGCTGGTGCTGTTGCCTCGACCTGTTTCTGAATCAAGTTGTTAATCAAATTAATAACCGGCTCGAACATTGATATTACTGCGTCAAAATCAAGAACAATTTGCCATTGATCTTCCTCTAGCTTTGGTCGCATTAGAGGATTGACATATTGCAACGCTGCTGGACAGTATTCCTCGATGTCCAATGTTTTGGGTTTATAATCATTTCGGTCACCCGTAAATGATATTTTTATTTGTCGCACAAAGAAATCTTGAATCAGATATTGTAGTTGATTATTTTTTAGATTCAGAAATGCTTGCATTCCAAATTTCTTAGACAAGAACTTTAAGAATTCTCTATTAATCACAAAATAATCAATTTTTTAGAATATAATTATTTTTTATACTCGAATAAATCTTTATATCACCTACTTATCAACATAAGAACCTCCACAATACTCCCCTGTACGCACAGTAACTTCACTAATTTTTTTTCCTGGCAACAATGTTCGAGTTGTCAAATCTACTGTACCACCTCCACAGTCAACAATCATGTACGGCTCTAATAGTATTGATATATAATTTATCATTTCGCGCGAAAAAAGCAAAAAAAAAACGTGTTTTACTAAAAAAAATTTACCATAATCTTTTAATCGATAATTATCAGCGTAATGCAAACAATATAGTGCTGCTGCTTCCGCTATTAAAATGGAAATAAGATGTTAATAATTTTCAAGAAGCAAAAATCTTAAAGAAAAAAGAATTCTTTTTAATTTACGATCTGTTGTAAAGGTTAAATTTTTTGTATCTTGATCCATTATTAATCCCGCCTCAAAAGCACATTTTCGCATAATAGTTTTTGTGTTTTCAATAAATTCTGCGGGTACAGTCATTACTATTTCTACGTCGTGATAGAAATCAAGACGCGGCCAGTTTCGCCTTAATTTTTCTTTGATCATCTACGAATCATTATTTTTTTCAAAGATTAAATAAACAAAGCATTGGAAATAATGAGACATAATTGTAAAATAATTACTTTTCCCATTTCACGAAGATAATCTGTAATTGCTTTCTGATAGTTTAATCCAGTTGGCAACAGAGGTTTCTCATCAGCTGGGATATCACTTAAATGTAACTTGAACAATTCCACTGGGATTTTGTCCGATACTTTATTGCCACCTCTTCTTGTTGGTCTTTGTGATAATGCTGGATAACCCCAATTTGTAACATTCCAATTACTGTCGTATTCCAATGCAGTATAGGTCTTGAATTTTCCGTACCATCCAGGCCTAGGAAAGTTTTAGCTATAGATTTATGAAATTGAATCTTAGATGAACTTGGAATACATCGTGAATATTTTACCATTCAGAATTAGTCTCAATCTCATCAACGTTTATTTGTTCTTTATTTAGAGGCCGAAGACAAAATGCGAATCCACCTATTTAAATCAAATTAATAATTTATTCCAATAATCAATGTTTTTAATTAACACTTACTTTCTGTAGTTCCAAAATCTAGTGAAGTGACACTGAAGATTAGTAATTTAATTAATTTAAAATGATAATCGATTGGCCTTGAAATTTTACCTATTCCAACGACCATCTGAGTTCTCTTTCTATCCAATTTTGGAGAATAAACGAATGCTGATACACACCATCGAATTTTAACCGTAATCTCTTCATCATTTAAAAATTCAACATACTCATCTTTGATTGTCTCAACTATTACCTCGATAAATGATTCCGATAATATTTGATAACTTGCTTTGAAAATTGGCGTTTTTCGTGCGATAGGATATTCGATGTTAAATGAAACATCAGAAGATGGAGAAAGAGATTTGTCAATATTTACTTGGCAAGACCATTTTTGTGCTTCTTTCTTAGATGTAATTTTCAATTCTGCAGATCCAGTTTTAATTTCGTTATCACGAGTTATTGAATCGAAGTAACCGATTTCACTTGGACAGCCAATTAGCATCCATTCAAGCGATAGCGATAGTGTTTGTAAGCTTATCAAGCTTATAAATAAAAAAATTATTTTGAATATTTGCATCATAATAATGAAAGATTTTTTAATAATTTCTTACTTTTCAAAAAAATTCTCATCGCCAGCCCGAATCCAATTTACTGAAAACCCATACTTTGATTTCAGACTAAATTTCACATAAATATTTGAGAACGATTGACCATTAGCATCCACAATTTTTCCAAAAATTTGGTAATTGGTGCTCTTTAGTTTTCTATTAAATTCTATCCGTTGATATCCAGTGTCAAAGTTCAAAATTGTAGTTGCATTAGTCATTAGAATATGATCTTGTTTACTGAAAAGTTTTTCAATTTTTTGCTGTTGATTGATATCAAGAATTTTATATAATGGAGTAACGACACGCTTAATGATATGCCATTCTGATTCGAATAATGGAATAGTTTCAAGCCATTTCGGAATTTGGCTAGAAAATCAAACTGTTAAACAAAGTAGATATTAAATCAGAAAGTCTATAGAAAACTAATAATTACTTAATTTTAATCGGGTCACCATCTATTGTCAACAAATACGAAGAGTCATACGGTTGAATTTCTTTTTTCCAGCGGTCTAAAGATTTATAACCTTGCAAATATGAATCTGTTAATTTTGTTAATTAAATAAATTATGAATATAAATCTCGTTATTTACCTATCTCATCAAATTCTGATAAATGCATTGATCCTCCTTTATTTCCTTTGTCATTTATTTCTCCATTTAAACGCACTACTCTTTGTAATTTATTACCAATTATTATTTTAATGGCGAAGAAATATCCAAATTTGTTAAAAACATGTTTTAAATTTATAATTGGTGTATTTGAGTTCAAAGCTTCTTCAACTGCAAATTTTAATTTATCAGTGATTTTAATATTTTGAATATCGTATTCAATTGAGACTTGTTCACTTGCAATCTCACAATAGACATCACGCGTTTCTAGATTATTTAATAACGCATTATCTGAATGTTTTCTGGAATTCCTATTGAATAGCATGAGAAATTCCTTTAAATAATTAGATGTGCTTGCATCAATCTCTATTCCTTCAGAAAGCATAAAAGAATCACAGATTTTTGATGCATATGAAATCTTCATATTTTGTGATTTCTTGGATTCAATTATTAGCTTGGGTGAATATTTATAATCTGTTATTGGATCAATTGATTGTTCAATTGATTGTTCAATTGAATATTTATCAACAACTATACTATTAGTCAATTTAAATTTTTTCGCCCATGTCTTTTTGATAAGCAATGATTGTTCCAAGATTTTAGTATTTTCTACTTTATTCCTTTCATGCAAGTATCTAGCGAAAGTTACATCAGTGGTTTTTTCAAGTTCATGTTCAAGTTCATCTTCAATTTCTTCTACAATCACTTCTGAGTTTCTTAGGGGTGATTCAATATATGCTCTACTTGTAATATTGCTTGGATTAAACGTTCGTTTAATAGACGTATACTGTATGACACCAGGTGGACAATAAGGCGTACCAGAGGGAAATGATTGGCGTTTCATTGGCAATAGCGATGAATTTTGTAGATTATATAGTGGTTGAAGGGATGTTCTGAAAGATTCCGGAGTTCCATTATCGACTAATGTCTTTTGACTACTCGTTGAAGTAGATCGAATAATTCCTTTATCATTATATTGTGTAATGTAATAGGAATACTTTAGGTTCAAAGAATCATGATCAGATATCGGTACTAATGTATTTTGACTACTCGTTGAAGTAGATCGAATAATTCCATTATTGTTATATTGTGGTTGTATAACGTCGTTAGGATACGGAGGAGGGTTCACAGAATCCGGAGTCTGTACTAGCGGAGATTCTATATATGAAGAAGATACGTTAACAAAGTCATCAATAGCAAAAGAATCTGGCTTGTTGTGAGGACTTTGAGTATCTTTTCCTTCCTGAGTATTTTGGCCCCAAAAATAGCTGAAAATTCCTTTTCTTTTTGTTTCTGTTGTTTCATGATAGGACTGCCATGTTAAATCCGAATTATTTCCTTCAATATCTAAACTTTCAAAAGTTTGCATTATTTATTTAATATGATTAAACAAGGTAGCGGGCTTTCAAGAGTTTCAAATTCCTTCAGTAAATATAAAGATAAAATCCGAAAATTTGTCATGTTTAATATCATACTGTAGTATTAATATTAAAAATGAAACTTGTCTGACGTTACAGAAATTTATAAATTTAGGAACCTAATAATGGAATTTTTCATCGTGTTACATTATGGAGTTTATACGTATGTCGCTTCAACAAAGTACGTGTACACGTACCATTATGGAGTTTATATGCCGCTTCAACAAAGAACATGTAATGTATCATTATGGAGTTTATATGCCGTTTCAACAAAAAACATGTAATGTACCATTATGGAGTTTATATGCCGCTTCAACAAAGAACATGTAATGTACCATTATGGAGTTTATATGCCGTTTAACAAAGAATAAAAGAATTCTTTTCATCGCAATTTTTCTATTTTTTATGATACAAACAAAATGGCAGAAGCATCTTCATCTTCATCCTCAACATCAAGGGATTCTGAGCCAAAGTTCAAAGACATTAAAGTTCAAATAAATAGGGATACACCTATCCTTATGCAACTTCCCATAAATAAAAAACTGAATGAAATCCGTCCTTTACTTGCCGACGAAGTAAATGTTCGAATGGGTTCAAAAATGTATTTCATGACCCCAGTAGCCAAAATCTTACAAGCCAACGAATGCAAATATCTTTTATCAAAAATTCTTTATAATAATAATCTAAAAATTATCGGCGAACAGGAACCAGACTGGGAATATATAAAGAACACATGTAAACTGGAGTATGGAGTTGTCTTTTCGAAAAAAGGCCCAGTGAGCGCAAAGAAAAAAGCATTTGATATTACGGGACTTCATCTGAGAAAGTTAGCAAGACCAATTACAATTGATGAAACAATCGTGTGCCAAACTGATTTTGATAAGAGTTGTGTGGAAAATCTTTTAGCAAAGGTTGAAGTCACGGCGAAGTTACCGTGGTGAGTTAATTTCATATAAGAAATTTATTTTATGATATTTTGTATGTTTATCGTTATACTAATTAATTTTAATTACAGGTCATCATCGATTTCAGCAACCCTTGGTGGATCTATAGAGACTGAAAATCACATAAACATTGGAAATTTAAGTACTTATCGGACATCAAAACGTATAAACGCTAAACTATCATATTCAGAACAAGAAGTAAAACCAACAAAAGAATTCATAAAGGCTGTTGATGTCGCGCTCGTATCAGATGATCCACGTAAAAACCTTAAAATAGTTGCTAAAGAGTACGGACCATTATGGTGCAATATACTCGGAATTGGTGGTAGGATTTTATTTATAGAAAGCCAAGAAACAAACCTAAATGAGTATATTAGCTCGACAGAAACAACAGCTGCCGGGAATATAAGAGTAACCGAATATGCCGAGATTGGCGGAGAAGCAGGAAGATGTCAACAAATGAGACAGATGAATTCATTTATTAATAAATATTCTTTTTTTCGAATGTTTGGTGGCTCAGAAGAAAGTTATCACGAATTTGGAATGTCTGGTGAGCAGAAATATAATGTTTAAAAGCAGAAGGCAATCGATTGCTAATCAACCCATCGATAAACCTATTACAATCAAACCTCTAAGACGACCAGTTAAATTCTGGGATTTTGGACGGTTCAGAGAATAATCAACTTAGAGTGATTAATTGATTTGATAATTTTAATCAAGTGAGCTCTGATCGTCTTAAAGAGGTTTGACTGTAGCAATCGATTGCTATTATTATCTAAACTATTAGTTGGCAATCGATGCTCCTCTAACTATTTATTATCATTCTTTTTAATCTTAAATATTTTTTTTAGGATGGTTAAGTTCATTAAACGACTATCAGCAATGGGCAGTAGCGGAATATACCGAAATAAATTCAATCTTTGATATCTTGGATCAAGACAGGAGATCAAAAGTTGCAGCAGCATTGACAAAACAAATCTTAGAATCGAAAATTGAAACATTATCTTTCCGAATGGACTTTTCTCGAACAGATCCATATTCCCATGAACTACCTCAAAATCTTCAACTTTCTAATACAGATCAGATATTTGTAACAATAATGAAAGAAGACGAATCAAAAAACTTATTTGCTACACGAGTTCATTATATAGATGATAAAAGTCCGCCTGTAATTCTTATTCATCGCCTGGGGAAATTAAAAAAGCGATCAAAATCGCCAATAGTTAATTTGAAATTGGGTTGGATTGTGATTGGCACATCTACAATGTTAAATTTATTTGGGCAATCTTTAGCGCAGCAACCAGTTTTCGAAAGTGATGAAATTAAAGCAAGTACATGTAATAGCAATAAACGACTTATAGCTATTATTACGAATAAACGAAAAAAAGACCCAAATAGTAGTATTTTGGCTACTTGTGTTTCAAGAACAAATGATTTGCAACAAGATCCAATGGCTTCCAAATATATCGCAGGAACTCATTTCGTTAATAACGATAAGAATAATGCTATTGAGGCTTGTACTTTTTGTTATGATCTACAAAATAGTAAGTTTTTATATCGAGACTTTATTTTAAATTATTGACGAAACTAATTCTAGCTTTGCTATATAAAGTGAAACCATGTCTTCAATTCGATAATATGCCAGTTAAACTTTCAGTCAATTATAGGTAAAGTTTTAAATTATTTAATTATTTTTCCACAGAAGCAATCTAATTTAATTTACTTTCTAGCATCGTCGCTGGAACAGGAAAACTCAAATTCGGGCAAACTCAAATCACTAGTAAACCTATTACTAGTAAACCTTTAGGTTCAATACTAAGTCAATCGAAACGCTTTGAAGTTTGTTTTGACGTTTATCTGAATCTAACTGAGCAACCAACGACTCCACCCACGTCTTCATTAAGTGAACGGGAACAATCGCTATCATCATCATCCGCACAAAGAACTTTACAAAGCCCAATCTTCATTAGCTTAGTTTCGGACAATTGTCCAGCGCATTGTGTTCACGGCTTTTTTAATATTACTCCAAATCATGCAATATTTAAGTCTCTAAAGAATTCATTTACAAAGAATGGGCAGGTCGCATATTTCTGTGTCCCTACTAGAAATAGAAACGAAGAGGATGGTGATTAACGTTAATATAAATACCGATATGTAGCGGTAGATCTTAATGTGAGTGAGCTGTACATTTATTTTTTTTCTGATGATAACGATAATTCGACATTTTAAAATTATTTCGAAATTAGTATAGGAATTTGTTTATTTTAATAAATTGAAGTGTTCCTCTATCATTTGATACTATCTCAAATGTACTTCAATTATAGGTTTGCATTTTGTTTTATTTTTAATAAATTTGAATTGGAAGGTACGAATTACGTATATATAATTCAAGATAATTCAAGATACAAATCAAATTCACTAAAAAAAACTTGAAAAAATTGCGAATTTAGTAAAATTTCTATATGGACATGCTCGTACAGTCAACTCTCTCTATACAAAATCACTTTTAAAGTTATATCTCTATAGCGATAATTACCATTAACGATAGTCAATTCGACCCCTTCTGCGAATGAAGTCGAATAACTGATGCATAATGTCTCTATAACGAACCTCTTTATAACGAGCCTTAAATTTTTAAATTTTATATTAGTTCGTTATAGAAAAGTAGGCTCTATAAAAACATAGTGGTTTTATATAACGAACTTTTTTTTACTAACAGAACCATCAGTTCGTTATAGAGAGAGTTGACTGTACACATTCGAATGAATCATCGAATTCACCAAAAATACTTATTAAATTTATTATCCCTTAAACCATCCAGCAGGCAAATTTGCCTGCTAAAATTTTTTTAGCTTATTTTTGTACATTTATTCCTAATTTGATAAGCTTAACCCCTCTTCTAAGCTAAAATAAAAATATAGCATATTTTTAAACAATATAATCTAAAACTTGTAATTTTTATTTATAAATTGCTCAAAATATTGATTTATTTTGTAATCAATTCTGTAATTTATTATAAAATATTTTTAAAATTTAAGACTAATTTTTTAAAATTGCTTATTTTTAGCTTATAAACAACTCTATTTTTTATAATTATTAAAAAAAAATGAAAATAACTATTATATAATATATAATATATAATGGCTGATATTCATACTGTTACCGAAGTGTAACAAATTTCGTTGATCTCGTGATTTCTGAAGGAGCCCATTCATGCTGATCTCAATAAGTTATTTTGATTATCTGAGCTCCTTAGTGTAATGTCCCATCCTTTCTATTTTAAATCGATTCCTGTTTTCCTCTTTTCAAAAAAGATAATTTGTTTACGAAATTTGCTTTTCATCTACATGTTTTTCGCTTTTGATTGTTTTCCTGTTTTTCGCTTTCATCTGCCTTTTTCTTTGTGTCTATGTTTTTCACTTTCCCATTTGATTGACAGCTCATTTTTCATTACTCATTTTATCTTTTTCATCTGTCTTTTGCTTTCATTATCACCTGTTGTTTGTTATTAACTAATCTTTAGATCAGCATCTTTACGTTTTTCACTTTCGACTTTGTTACCAATTTTCCACTTTTATTCGAATTCGTTTTCTGTTTCTTATTATTTCACTTCGCTTTCACTTCCATATTTGATTATAATCACGATTTCACTTTTGATTGATTCTACTTTATTTTTTTATTCTTAAAAAGTTCTCTTTCTTCAATAATATATATAGTAATAGAATCTAAAGTAATACTCTTACTCTACAATGTAAAAATCAAAATATATATATGATCCTCATGAACATCAATAAAAATGCAGAATTAATTGCATACAATTCTTCTCCAAGTAATTTAACTCTTGTAAAAATAAAATAATTGTATATAATTCTTTTATCCCATAATATAACTTTGTTAAAAGATTGAAATGATTAATGATTAGATTCTTTGATCCAGAAAAGGTATTGTTATTGATTAAATGGCATATTGATTAATAATAACTCTGTAAAAAAAATATTTGAACATATCAGGCAAAAAACCTGGTTTTACTTTAGCAAAAATTCATTTTTATTGTCAGAGTAAAAATGATTTTTAAAAGATCCAACATACTTCTATTTTTTTTTACTGGATAAAAATGAATTTATACAAAAAATTCAGTTTTACTTTAGTAAAAATCTATTTTTATTGCTGGAGTAAAAATGATTTTTAAAAGATCTGACATACTTCTATTTTTTTACTATATAAAAAATGGATCTATATAAGAAATCCAGTTTTACTTTAGTAAAAATTCATTTTTTAGAAGATCTGACATAGTTCCATTTTTTATCCAGTAAAAAAAATGGAACTATATCAGATTTTAACCATTTTTACTCTGGTAATAAAAACAGATTTTTATTTTTTATTTATCAGTATGTATTACATGATCTTCCTGATCTATTATATAATTTCAATTGAAAAAAACTGATAAATCTAGTTATAGCATTAATATTAATAATTTCAGAATGATCAAGATCATAAAAAATAAGTGGATCATAATCAGAAGCTACTGGTGTAGTAACCTATTGTATTAGAGCTAACAATATTCATTTATTTTTATCCTTTATATATTCATATGCAAAATAATATTTTACTTCCCCATAAAATTCCTATTCTTCTAAATTAATATGTCATATATATACTATTATTTAGTAATTAGTATGAGATATATCTTCTTTTTAGCTAATGAGTTATGAATTAATTATTTCTTTATTCGCAGTTTGAAGCTTTCCATAAATCCAAATATTTGATGAAATCTCCTAAAATTATTATTATGCCAGATCATACTGATATTAGTACATGTAGTGACTAGTTTGTGAATAAAGTTTTGGACTAGATAAAATATCAGCAAAAAATGGAAAAATATCTTCTCAAGTTTATCTATTTCTTGTACTATAATATAGTAATATCTAAGCAACTGTTTTTCCAGTTTGCTAAGTATATGTTTTTATCCTGATGTTAATAGTAATTCATTTTCACTTTCAATTTCAAAATTTCAATTTTCTCAAATTTCTTTGTATTTTTCTTTGGATTATCAAATACTCATTCATTAATCTCTGAAAAATATTGAAGATGAGAAAATTGATTTCACACAGTAATTTGATTGATTAGATTTATATAGGAATATTATCTTGACCAGACAAGAGACAACAACATTTCACAAAACTTTTCCATTGAATATTACCAGGTTACCCATGCTGATCTGGTATTTTGAATAAATTTGACAATATGAAGAAGATAATGAAAGAAATCAAAGCTAACAGTAGTTGAGTAGATTCTCTTTGATAATATTCTCTTTTATAATACACTACAAACTTGAAAAAAGTCTTTTAATTTTCTTTAATTTGTCAAAAGTAATTGTCTTTTTAAATAAAGTTTGCATAAATTAATAAGTTTTGTTTATCCTTTTAAATACCTGAAAAAAATAAAAGTTAGTCAGACTAAAATAGAGAATTTCTAACCAAATACATGAGATTTTTTACTAACTTTTTATTCAAATTTTCAGATAAAAGTGAAATTGAATACAATATAATCCAATTTATTCACTTCTCCACCTAAAAAATATTAAAATATCAAAGTATATTAACCAACAGATGTTCAAACTTGTATGGCATATTTTTTCAATTTTTTTCCAGTTATTATTAGAGATATTGAAATCATTATCTAATTTAAGCAATATCCTGGTTCAGTTCTAGAATATTGCCAGAGCAACATTTTCAAAAAGACTGTGTATAATATCTACTAGAAAACTATTCAGAAACCTTACTAATTTTAACTCTAAAAAGATTTTTCAGCTGTTTATATCAGTATTGTTACTATTTTAATAAAGCTTTCAAATTACTCAAGAATATTTAAAGGGAAAACTCAAATGTCTTAATGACAATTCATAGTCTTAATAATACTTTATGACTTTAGACTGAATAAGAATTAAAGTACAGTAAATACTTATAGAATCACTTAAAGATTAATAACAGTTGTGTTCTTTTAACGCAATAACTGGATTGCTAAAAAGAGTTCTCAAAATCTCAGTGTCAAAGTTATAAAGATTATAATATTCGTATTATTAACAATATGAAATTGAAGATAAATATATGAACAATATATTATTAACAATACAAAATTAATGATAAGTTTATAAGCAATATATTATTAGCAATACAATTTTAAAGATAGATTTATAAATTATAATAATAATTTAATTTAATATAATATTCAATAGACTAGTGTTCCTATAAACTGAACTGAATCAGACTTTTGTCCAAGTTCAAGTTCAGTTTGAAATTTGAACTGAACTCAAACTGGACTTTGACTTGAGTTCAAGAAAGATTTGAAGTTCGAACCAAACTCAAACTGAACTGTTATACGAGTTCGAGTCTGGTTCGAGTTCGATTAAAGATTGGTATATAGTATTATATACTGATTTGTAGCTCTAAATATAAGCTATAAATTTACTTATAAGTACAATTTATAATATTTAGTAAGAATTAAAAGTTTACATAGTGATAACTAAAGTATTTTTATTTTTATGTTTATTAAATTTGATCGTAAATGCTATGTAACTCTCTGAATAATTATTATTAATAATAACTATCTTATACCAATTT